CATCATCACCGTCCTCATTGTAATCATCCCCTCCTTCTCCACTCTCTCTCTCTCTCCCTTCGCTTTCTTTTAGAAGTCGGCACTCTGGGGCTTTCAGTCAGTCCCTTGCGTTCTTCTGTTGTGTCAAATTTTAAAGTTGACATGCTCGAAGTACATACTTGCAGTTCCTAAAGTTTATGTGGGTTTAGGAGAATGGAGGAGATAGGTTGTCGTCCGCCTGTCCCTGCATCTGATATCAACTGTGTCCCTGTTGCTGAATCGACCATTTTGAATTCACGTCGTTTACCATGCGACGAGAATACGACTCACTGAATGACGTGATTGCTGTTGCTGAGGGTCACTTCGTCTTCGCGTTCTTGTCCGCCCTCCATAGTAATAAACCGACTGCCGATACCGAACTGATAACTTACGAAATCCATGTTACTTAAAGTTACTGCCCGCTGACTGTTGTCCTAGGAAGCACAGCTTCCAGGGACAGACTTAAGTATTAAACTCTCCTTACTTTAAAGCCCGTCGTCAATCTATGTCAACTCGATTAAATTGGATGCAATGGCGGCCGCGAAGTCGACTTTGGATGTCTCTTTAAGCTCCAAACGCAACGCATTACTCACCTCTTCTTATATTCGGCCAGATTTTTCACAGAAATTCGTATCTCTGTCTCGACGATTCTGACCGGTTTTTAAATCCGCGCTTCTTCACCATTTTTTGCAGGGTAAATCTGGGAAGCCCTATAAACTGCGCGTCTGTGACACTGACTTGGCAATTTGTGAGGACATCGGCGATGCCGTCCCGATCCGCGTTTGGTCTTGGTAAGAAATCCAACTCTCCCGACTCCCTGCTCGCTTTCTCTCCTGCTTCTGTTTTCCCTGCTACCTTTGACTCTACTCGTCTCTGCGTGGGTCTGACAATTGTTTACCTACTCTACTTAGACGTCGATCTAGCACCGCCTGTAGTTGAAACAGCCCGATCACCTTTAAACGCTCGGAGGTTCGGACGATCGTAGTGTCCCTCTGCACTATTCTAACTGGCTGAGTAAAATCTGACCGCATCGCATCCCTGTTTGTGAATCTCGATGTCTCCTGCTTCGTAGTCGTCGTCATCGTCACCTCTCCCCCCCCTACCACCTCATCCTGCCCCTTCTCCCTCCCTCCGTCTCTACTCTTACTCCTTCCTGCATCCCTCCGTCATCAGAGTACTCGACATTCTCCCCTTTTTTCGCTCGATAAGCTGTGTTTTGATTATTCCCGTCGCCTACAGTAGGTGGGCTAAATCATGAAATGTCAACTGAAATTCCGAAATGTATTTTCGTTTCTAAAAGATTTATTAAGTGGGCTTGTAAAACTAGTCAGTCTGCAGTATAGTTCTATAATAAATCAGTTTCCTTAGGATGCTGGCTTTCGAACGAACTCCCTTCCGCCTGCATACAAAAAAAATGCAAAAAAGACTACTTAGGTAGCATACATTTTCTTAGTGATTTTCGATGCCCCTAAAAGTCCAATTATATTTGATGGAAAACATGAATAAGAATATTCATTCTTTCGCTCATTCGGTAGAAAATTACGTCTTCTTTCAATTTTATACTTGAAGGAAGATTATAATTTAGTTTTGAAAGACTTTCCTAATTCCCGAATAATTTTGGACCTTCTATGCCGTCACACTAGCATTCAGGGTTTCCAAACTACAAGCCATGTATTTTCCGCTTACGGAAAACCACACACTTCTCTACGGTATTGAGGGAGGACTATATGGGGTTCGTAAAATTTAACATTAGATTTGATCCATATTGTAAACTTTACAAGCTAATTTGGCAAATGTAGAGACATGACGTTTTATAAACGGCCATTTTATGGTATTAAAAAACCTCACAATTGGAAACTTTTTTAAAACCAGATTATACCCTTTTTTCGATTATCAAATTGAAAGAAGACGTAATTTTCTACCGAATGAGCGAAAGAATGAGTATTTTTATTCATGTTTCCCATGAAATATAATTGGACTTTTAGGGGCATCGAAAATCAATGAGAAAAATGCATGCCACCTTAGTAGTCATTTTTTACATAGTTTTTGTATGCAGCCGGGAGAAAAGCATCCTGAGGTAACTGAATTATTATAGAATTATATTACAGACTGATTAGTTTTGCAACCCTACGTAATTAATCTCTTCGAAATGAAAACACATTTCGGAATTTCGGTTGACATTTCATGAGTTAGCACACCTACGGTAGTTGACCCCTGGGTCTAACAAACCAAATGCACCGGCTCTGAAAGGCTGACCCGGAGGGCTGGAGAAGCAGAAGGATTGGGGCTGGAGTCTGGGAAGGCAGTGCATCCACAGAGATGAGACTGGGTCGGATCTTATTTCGTAGCCGTACCTGAAGTAGGCAAGCCCCAGCCTAACCCCAAGCTTTAATCCTAACCCCTAGCCCCTTACCTTAACCTCCACGAAATGCCGACCCTTTGGAGGTTACTCAGTCCCCCAGTGGGCTCATTGGCCGAGTTCGGCATGTCTTCCTCCTGATCTGTCTGCCTTTATTCTCTCCTCCGTGACTGATTGTGACAGCCGAGACGGAATGGTAGTTGCTGCAGTGAAGGGTCTCGCTTGAGGCTCCCTGTGGTTTCTAAAAAGAAATCTCGGTTCTTAGACATAGTGCAGTAGGTCTGAATCTTCCAAATTAGGACCCTACCGGTTTTATACCGACTTTCTAAGCGAATTCAGCCTGATATGGGCTGCTTACTCGATATCCATGTTATTAAACGACATATAGTAATTGATAGTCCTTCGCGAAATATTGCAATGTTACTAAGTCCTACAATTATACTAGTTTTAAACTGATTGAGTAGCCTCTCAGCCATTCACCAATGGCGTCCCGCGTATGGGACCATTTGCGTAAACCAACTGACGAAGTAGGTGTTAGAGATAAAAATGGCAAGATCCTATTTTGTAGCCGTCTATGTTAGTGGTTAGGGTTAGGGATTAAGGTTGGGGGTTGGGGGTCAGGATTAGAGATTGACCTGGGGCTTATCTACTGCAGGTACGGCTACGAAATAAGACCCGACCATAAAAAGCCTCATTGTCCTCAGAGATCCTCGATCCAGCGAAAAGTTCGCGACATATACTCAGACATGCTTGCGTGCAAAATCCTCGATCAAGTGAGACCGTAAAAGTCGAAACCCGATATTACAATGAGAGGCTACCATCATTTGAATCATAACGACACCGAAAATCAATGGAAAAAACCACCCTGGCGGTGTTTAGATTGTAATTGTCGTGGCCGCGGTGGAAATTTGTTTTTCGGTGAGTCTGCCGCGAACCAAAAAGTTTTGCGAAACTACGCAGGTCGCAGCCGAGGCAACCGGTTGATACGTATCAAAATTGTTTTTCTGTCCCACTGATTATTGCCTCCTAGGCTTCGCTATCTGATCTCGCGCAGCTGTTTTCGTTGACTGGCCGTTGATGGGCTTGCGGTGGGACTCGCATCCATTTGTCAAAGCGGATCCGCTCTGTGAAGACAATGGCCTGGAGACTAGTTAACAATGCCGACCTGTTTGCGGAAGCTGAGTGTTAGCGTGTTAGCGTGACGCACTCCGCTATCCGTCTGGCCTTGACGACTTCCGCTCCAGTTCTAACGACAACGCGGCAAGCTTAACGATCCTGGGAGAGGCCATATCATGTCTGAGAATTTATGTATGCGCGCATGAGGGCTCAGGGCCACGTGTTACCCTTCTCGACCTAGAGGTGTGTAAACGTCTGCTATGCGTGGATCAGCAAACCACAGGCCTCGCAGCCAGGTATGCGCTGGCAGTTCTCTGACACCTGGTCCCCTGCCGGTAGATGCGCTTGCGCACCCGCTGGGTATATAGGTCGTGAGCATGGTTGCTCAGTCATCCAAGCCGTCTTGTTGTGGTGCTGTTGTTGTGGTTGGTTGAGATCCTGTTCATTTGTTGTGTGGATCAGGGGGTCTGGAGTGGGGTGCCAAGGCGCGGTTCCGGCCGCGCCATCCGTCTGCACCCTCCCCCACATCCGGTCTTCTTGATTCTGTCTTGACATCGAGTCCAGGTGGTGGGGAGGAGGAGAGAGTGCGGTAGACGCTGATGAAGCCCGCATTCACTATAAACTTGATCGAGTAGCAGTCACCGTGCCTGTCCTCACGTCGCTGAGAAGCCCAGGGTGAACATCGTCGTGCACAACGGTCCATCTGACTCACCTTGTCCGCCAGCATCCGCCGCGTCGTCGCCGTCGATTAGTTGGTTGGGGGACTCTCGTGGGGCATCCTGATCACGTTTCCACTCCATCGCAGTCACAGCATCTGACCTATAACATAACGCATGGGAGGCTGGAGTGGCCGTTTCTGGTTTACCAGCCGTCGTCAGCCAGTCATACCCAAGCCCAAAGTGTGAAACACCTGGGGCTCGATCCCGTGACCTGTTAGAAGTCCAACACCTCTAACCACCGACAGGACAACGAGCCCGTGGCTCAGGGGTGCCAGTACCAGCTAGTACTTCTCTTGTCAATGCGGTAAATAATTACACAATTCTATATTACTGGCTGCCTGTCGGCGATTTTTGAATATCACGTGGTTATTCTGCGTTAACTGACGGATTTCAGCTCAAATATTCATATCAAATTTCGGACCGTTCCTAAAAAGATCTGCTTCGAAGTATTTATTCCAAGTTGACGCATAAGTTTCCGCAGAAATTAAACAAGACAGGGTTAAACTCGAGCTCATATGCCAAAAAACGCGGCAAAGGCTGGGAAACCCATTCATGAGCCCTCGTAGATGCATCAGCCAGCGACACAAGATCAGCAAAACTCGCGTGCCTGGGCTTCTAGTTAATACCTCTGTTGTCAGTACGGTAAATAATTGCACAATTCTGAAACATCTCTTTATTTAACGAGTCTCGTTCCGGTTGCCTGCATAAACCAAGTGACAAAAATGACTACTTAAGTAGTATGAATCTTCCCCATTGATTATCGATGCCCTTATAAATTGATATTTATTCTTAGGAAAGCAGGCACAAAATACCGTTGTTCACGAATTGTTAACCGATATTCTGAAAAAATTTTTCAACTCGAAAAGATAACTTCAGTGGGGTTTTAATATTAATTATTGTGCAGCATATTCCTAATATATTTCCGTCGCGCCAATATGGTGTGCTTTTGAATGACCTTCTTTTCAGCCGCCTGTATAAACTACGCAGTAAAAATGACTGCTTATGTAGGTAGTATGAATTTTTTGCGTTGATTGTATGGAAAAGCACAAAAGTACTCTCCTCGTACTCATTTTGTATAAATTGCGTCATTCCCAATCTCTTTTTTACTTAAAGATTATCATTTGGTTTTAAAAGAGTTTCTGCTCGTGTGATTTTTGTGACAGTGGAGTGTTCATTCATACAGATTCGCCTCATCACGTTTATTAATGCCTTTTCTAAAGTATAGAACCTGATCCACATTCATTGCACAATGTTATGAGTCCTACATGAGATCTTCCTAAAATAGTACAGAAATATATAATATTCATTTGAAGGAATATATACTGCGTGTAGTTTGGAAACCCTGAATGCAGGTATAACGGCAAGTGGGGTAAAAATTTACTCTAAAATGAAGGCGAAAGTTCGGGTGCCGACACGAAAACGAATGAAAAAGTATGAAGGCAACTGACACCGCTCTAGCTCAATTCTATGGTCTGCCAAAAATACATAAAGCAAATGTCCCACCACGGCCAATCGTTGCCCTGAAAGGCTGCCCCACCTATAATTTGACAAAGTGGATGTATTCAAAACTGAAGTTCCTCCAAGGCAATTCGACTACCTCAGTTTGATCAGCCACCATTAAAACCACCAACGATATGGCATTCTCCGCCATACATCAAGGAAGTTTCAGAAACAACTGAGCGCATTGCTGCGGAGCTAGATGTGGGAATTGCACACCGCCACAAAGCTATCATGCGCGGTAGGGTCACGAAAATTAAAGACCAGTCAAAGCCTAAGGAGCAATGTGGAGTCGTCTATCGCATCCCGTGCCAAAACTGTCCTCGTAACTGCACAAGCCAGACTGGACACATGCTCGGATCGCGCATACATGAACATAAGCTGGCTGGGCGACTGGGTGGCGCATTATTACAAGTGACCGCCCACGCCTACGAAATTGGTCACGGGTTTAATCTCGCAGCCACCAAGATACTCGCCCACGCCGAAGACAAAACAGGCCGAGAATTGATTGAAGCCTGGGCCTCTGGTGAGAAAGCCTTAGTTGAACAAGTAATTGATCGAAGTTGGCCCGCTCTCCGTTCCGTTATTACAAAATGGGTCGCCAAAGGCATTATAGTGGTAACGGACGAGTGGAAGGCGTATAATCGTCTTCCCTCAGAAGGTTATCTACATTTCTCTGTTAACCATTCAAAGAACTTCAAGGACTCTACCACCGGACGGCACACCAGTGCCAATGAGGCATACTAGGGTAGACTGAAAAGGAAACTCCACGAGGGAGGCCCTGTATGTGGTCGCGCTGTGTGGGCTCACATAGATGAAGTATAGTATAGTATGGTTTGGCCTCAATGCCATGTCTTTGGCAGATGCCTGGGAACTGTTCCTGTCCCCTGTTGTGCAGACTTATCCTAGTATCGTACATCCCGACCAGCCACCACACATAAAACCCCTATTACCACCTGTCCCGTAAGACAGGCTGCTTTGGTTAGGCGGATCTTTTTGGGTGCCATCTCCCGATTGTTGCCCCCTACTTAAGTAGGCATTTCGAGTCGAAATTTTGATTAACATCTTATGAGGTAGCACATCAGCTGTACGCATCCGTTAGAGAACTACGCCTTCCTAGAATGCTATGCTCAAGGAAGGGTGTATGGTCGGCCCATCAATCCGCTCCGCACATCACATTCATCACCAGCGTACCACAATGACCACGCCTCCGGATGAGGGTATAGTCCAGCACCTGCCAGTGATCCGAGCTAGGGTTCGTCCACGCAGCTACGAAGAGGGTGCGCGGACTTTCGTGGAACTTGTTCTCCACATCACCACGGACTGTTGTTTGGCTTCCATAGTTGTAGCAAACTCTTACACTCAGGGTAAAAGTCGCCTAACCATGAGACGGTAGGTGAATCCTGTGTCACGATGTCGTTCTTGAGTGGGGAAGGCTACGCCTTGTGGGTGAGGCATTTCACAAGCGACCCTGGCCACCTCC